TTCAAAAAAGATTTCAAAATGGATATAATAAAGTAGTAATTGAACTTCGTGTCGTGCAATTTTGGTCTGAAATCAAACTTGCAATTACAAATCGCACTCCCGCTACGCGGTCGTGCGATTTTGTAATCGCGCGTTTGATTTCAGACCAAATTGCACTCCACTCAGTTCAATTACCATTATATATGAACTCTATGTTATTTACTACCAATACTAAACACATAGTAATCGAAAAGGCCCCGTGGCCCAATGGATAAGGCATCTGACTACGAATCAGGGGATTCCAGGTTCGAGTCCTGACGGGGTCGTTTTTATTTTGATAGACGCAGACAAATACCCTGAGCTTCAGGAATGTCGACGGCGAAAGAATAAATAACCATTTAAAGCCAAGGCTAGCATATTTTTCTTCCCCTCCATGGAAAAATAAGAAAGACCAGGAAACTTAACACGTAGCAGTAGCAGTAGCATGCAGAGTGCATGCGTTTCGATATCTGGTTCAGCTTCAATAAAGAAATCACTAAAAGAAAACCAAGGGAATCGTATTTTGACAAAATGAATACCAATTGCCCAATGTGGTGCTCGAACCCACTACCCTGGGATTAAGAGTCCCATGCTCTACCGACTGAGATAACCTGGCACTTTTTTCTAAAATTTACTTTGTTTCTTGTRATTTTTCGGTTCGTATTTTGAAGAGAATAGCATGTTATTTGATGTTCCTTTATCGTCCTTGTTTTACGAGGGTAGCACTCAATATAGCCAGTGGTTAAGAAGSCGGTGGCCCTCGTTCCATCATCGAATTGGAATTTAAGAGTTGTTTTTTTTGTGGATGGAGAGAAGAGAAGAGAACCCTCGAAGCACAGGAGAGAACCAACAAACAACTAGGGACTCGAACCCGGAATCTTAAGTGCGCATGTACTTTCAAGCAGCGCCATGTTTACATGTATTTGTTGTTGTTGATTTTTTTTCTTCTTTCTAGCTATGGTTCTTTTTTAATTATTTCCTTATTTCCTTCCTATCTTTCTTTCTTTGCCAAAATATTCCCCCTCTCTCTCCATTACATTTTATGTAACGCGTTGTTTCCAAATTGTTCTGCTCTATACTATGAATCACGTGATCGACAAACTCAATATCTGTCCGATTTCAAACACATGACGTCAACTCGCGCGCTCATTCGAATTATTACGTCACAAAGACATTAGACTAATGACTTCAAACTTAGCTTGATATCAGAGCAGAGAAGAAAAAAATGAGTGGCTCTATACTGTTGACAGTGTTTTCACATTGTTTGAATGCAATGGATTGTTTCATGGACTATTTGACATTTAGTAGTACAAATTGACAACATACAATCTCCAACTGGTAAAAACCAAGC